ACCAGGATTGATATTCATAGCGGACTTTGAAAAAGCGTTCGATAAGATTAGAAGAGATTTTATTTTTAAAGTATTAGAGTATGTAGGTTTTGGAAATTCATTTGTAAATTGGATTAAAGTTTTATATCAGGACACGTCAAGTAAAATAATTAATTATGGATATATTTCAGATGCATTTCCTTTGTACCGCGGTGTCCGACAAGGCTGTCCTCTTTCTCCCTATCTATTCATATTAAGTGTTGAAATTCTAGCTAATAAGATAAGGAATAACCCTGCGATAGAAGGATTGAGAACTCACAACATTGAAACCAAAATTATACAGTTTGCGGATGATTCGAGTTTTCCCTTTGAGCCAAAGCTTGGGGTTTTATACGCTCTTATAAAAGACATAGAAGTTTTTGCCCTGTTATCTAGTCTGATCCCAAATTTTGAGAAATGTAAAATTTTACGTATCGGTTCCCTTAAGGGCGCCAACTTTGTCTTACCATGTCCATGGCCTGTACAGTGGACGGACGGTCCAGTCGATATTTTAGGGATTCATATTCCGCAAAATTTCTTGGAACTTGTGTCGGTTAACTTTGAACGGAAATTTATGAAGTTAGATAAGACCCTCCAGCCCTGGAAAGGCAAAGCCTTGTCTCTTCTGGGAAAAATAACTTTAGTTAATACATTAATAGTTTCTCAATTCATATTTTTGTTCAGTGCACTTCCATCGCCGACCACTGCCTTTTTCGAAAAATATGAAGAAAAAATCTTTAAGTTTATATGGAGAGGGCGCCCTGAACGTGTTAAAAGAAAAGCATTGTACAATACTAAAGAATACGGTGGGCTTGGGCTTTGTAATTTGAGTATCTGTCGACTGTAGCCTAAAAGCAGCTTGGGTCCCAAAGATGTACTTAAATAAGAATGGTTTGTTCGAGATTGTTGTTTGTATCAAGCCCTATTTTTAGAACCAATCTTATCCCGTTTGTACAGCTCAAATTGCAAGATTTTGATAATCTAATTGGGGAAAAGGTGATTAGTAAGTTTTTTAGTCAAGTGATACAATATTGGTTAAAGTTCCAACTGCGCCCCCCAGAGAATACAGTGGAAATTAAACAACAATTGTTGATGCTAAACTCAAATATATGTATTGGGGGAAAACCATTTTACTCCGCCACTTTTTGTAACAAGGGAGTGTTGTTTGTCAATGATATTCTGGATTGTGAGAATAGAGTGTTACCATTCGAAGACTTTGCACTAAAATTTGGTAATGTGTGTTCTGAATTTACATATAATCAATTGATTTCAGCTATTCCAATTCAATGGAAACAGTTGTTGAGACAGACAAACACACCCTTGAGAGTTTGCATCCCGGTCTGTAGATGGCTCGAAAAGAGAAAGATTAATAAAGCACTATACTTCTTCTTTATGTGCGACAATAGATCATGGGAGCCTCCTTACAAGATCCAGTCATCTTGGGAAGAATATTTTAACATTCCAATACATTGGAAACGGGTATATAGTCTAATATATAAAACTTCTATAGATTCAAGGACACGTATGTTTCAATATAAATTATTATACAAATTTTTAACCTCAAATAAAACATTGTATACTTGGGGATTAATTGATTCCCCTATATGTGATCATTGTAAGGAGGAAGAGGAGACGGTGGTCCATTTGTTTTGGAACTGCCCATATGTAATTGAATTTTGGAAACAGGTGGACCACTGGTACTCAAGTCATACTGGAATGAATCTACAGCTGACCGCTTTCAATGTTATGTTTGGGGATTTAACCGACAATTGTTCAATATTGTCCAACTTGATTATTCTGTTGACTAAAATTTACATCTTTAGAAATCGCCAATGCCCTCTTAAACTATCCTCCTTTATATCTTTTGTAGCATATTTTTGCAAAATTGGAGTTTATAATTGCAAATAGAGGGGGGAAAATACACAAACATATGGGCAAGTGGGGAAAGTTACACCTTAAATTTTGTTCTTAAATTGTTCTTTTTGACTCGACTAAACTTTCATTTACTATGTGTTACAGTTTTCTTTATGTTTAGATTGATATGAATAAGTATTAATGAATTGGTTTCTGGTATGAGTTTGTTTCTGTTCTTGTAAAACCTGTGCCATGCAAGTCTGTGTATTGTACTTGTTTTTGTTTTTGAAAACCTAATAAAAATAACGTGGAAAAAAAAAAGAACTCATCTGTTATGCCTGTAATCCTCAAATAAACAAAGGGGACCTGGGAGCCTCAGGAGAGCGGCTGCTGGATACTGGAAGGGACCAGTTTAAGGAGATCCCATTGGAATATATGCTTAAACCAGCACTTGAAACAAGCACTTTAAAACGCATTTACCTTTATCTCAAACCTCAAGTCTTTACCCCCACTGGAAAGCTGAATTTGTCAGGTGTCTTTTGGTACAAATAGTGGAAGTTCGACTCATGCTTGTTAATGAGCTACAGCTAAAATTTTGAAATGATACCAGGATTTCGCCCCCCGTGAGTGGCAAAGTGGGACAGTCCACACTAGTATTTAGATGTCAATAACAGGTAAAACCATGAAAAAGGTCACACTTTTTGGCCATATTTAAAAAAAAATTGCATTCTTCTGTCCTACTTACGTATACCAGCCTTTCCGAGCAAAATTTGCCCAGGAAAAAATTATCTAAAAAATAAGTACCAAAATAAGTCGTACGGTATACACACTGTTAGTTCTGCGCAAGACGATTTGCTGTTCCCTCCCCTTCCAGCATTTCTAGCTCTGTTGTTTGGGCATAGCAGAAAAGACTCATTTTAAACAATTTTATAATCGTGTATGCCAAACTATGTCTTAAGTTTATTTGGCATTTGCCTAAGACACATCTATAACAACTTTCAGGTCGTTTGGTTTTTATACAAGGGCATACAAGTATTTTGTCTGGAAAGAGCACAAAAACTTATTTTACACAAATTCAAAGTAGTTTACCACAAATGTGAGTATAGTTCTTTGGGCATACGTCTAAGGCGCTCCTATACCAATTTTTAGGTCATTTGGTTGTAATCTTTTAGGTCACAGGAGTCAAAAATGTACATTTTTTGTCTGAAAATAGCAGGAAAGACACATTTTCAACACCATTTTCAAGTGATGAACTCTAGTTTGAAATGGATTATATGGCTAAGTCACAGTTGGTCCATTCGTTTTTCTGTTTACCCAGTCTACCCTGTGTTTGTATTATATCTCTTAGTAAAGAAAGAAAGAATGTACATTTTTTGCACTGTAACTCTAGAACTGATGTGTTCTATACTTACATCCTCCCACAGACTCCAGAATTGCCGGGTCGGACATGTCGACCTCATCCAGCACACTTGTGATGGACTGGAGCATGTCCATCGCCTTTTCCTCCTGCATAAGACAATCAGGTGTCGTCATTAGCAAAAATAGAACTCATCAAAAACTTTGAAAACATAAGAACTGGATTCTATTTGTGTACTTACTGTTTTTTTCATTATAGCAAACTATTTTTGTGTCTTTGCATGTTTCGTTTTTGTTCTCAATGTTGTTGGAATCTGTGCATGTGGTTGTGATTATTGAACCAGACAAACATCAGTCATCTTACATCCGACAACTGATGGAGAAACGAGATTATGACGGTGATGTTATTCGGGAAATAAATGTCTACTTTTGTCACACGGATACAAACCTTGCTACATATATTTCCAATATTATTTAGACGAAGTATAGGAACTGACATTGTCATTATACTTGAACAATCTGTATCTCTACATCTGCACATGAATCTTTATCTGTACATGAATATGAGTATGTATTTGTACATGAATCTGTGTCTGAATGTAAATAAAGATCTCGAGTGGTTGCCATTGATTGATAGATATTTAGACGAGGGTTTTCCTGTACCTTTTTTTATTTATTTAATCATGAATATTTAGGCTAGTCTTCCAGTTGTAATTAAGGCTTTAGTGATTGCTGCTGCTCTGTATCAAAAGCTTCGTTTAACTTGCATTTAACCTGTGTGGATAATCAAGCATAAAGCGTATCTAAACTGTCAAGTTGTTGAACCTTAAATAATTAAGATTTGTGCTTACCTCTGTCTTTTCCTCAGCAGCTGTCGTCATTACCTCTACATGCTTAAATAATTTAAACAACTTATATTAGTAAAAAGTTGTATAAAATTAGGTTATTGTTTGCAAATATATATTGCAGATTTTCAAGGTTAAGTACAAATGTTTTGGAAGTGATGACAAAAATTATAGCCTTTAAGGCCGACATGACCAAGACGAAATTGTACGAACATCTTATGGATTTAGGGAGACACATGCTGCACAAATATCGTCAATACAGTCTTCATGGTAATAATGAACTAAGCGGGGTTTGAGATCAGTGCATTTTAGCTGCATTTTTTCTCTAAGATCAACTAGTTAAATAATTAGATACACCGAGGAGGTTTACATTCTTTAGCCCCTTTGTGGTTTGGAAGAAATCTCAATTGTACTATGTCAATGTACCATATAACTGAAATTTGCAACGCTACTGTTATGAGCTACTTCATCTTCTACATACATGTATATCCAATTGTGCTCTACTAGTAAATGTTCCTGAAAGCTGCAAACCTGAAATAACGACGTTTGCCGGGCGTTATCCGGTGATTTGCTGCTTGTTGCCGTTGTTGCTGTACAGAAAAAAGGAGAAGGGATGTTATTTTGATAATCTTGGTTGGTTCATTTCTTCTAATAAAAACATGACTTTGACTAGACGGCTGTCACCATGGTAACTGGTACTGCAGCAGATATTACCATGCATATGTATGTACATGTATTTAGGTAAGAATTAGACAGAGCAGAAGTTTGTAAAGCTTAACTATTAACTATGTGAAGATAAACTTTATGTATTTCTTTTGTTTGCAAATGTTACCTTTCTACATTTTGTTTCATTTTTCATCAAGTAAACACATGGCTCTAATGTGTTTAAAAGAGGCCTGAACAAGAAGGACTACGTTTTTCTTGGAATTAAATCACCAACTTACCAGCTTCGCTGGACTCTGTTGTAGGAATTGGCGGTTCTGGCTCCGAGTCATAGTAGTAATCACTGTCATAATAGTCACTGTCGCTTCCAGAGTCACCTGAGAGAACAGAGTGGCACATAAATATCTTTGTGTAACATCTGTAAGGTCTTTTCCACACAAAGGGGTGCTATTTTTACTCTAGGGGCGCTAGTTCTACTCTTGGGACGTTAGTTTTACTCTAGGGGTGCTAGTTTTACTCTAGGGGTGCTAGTTTTACTCTTGGGGCGTTAGTATTACTCTAAGGGCGCTAGTTTTACTATGGGGGCGCTAGTTTTACTCTGGGGCCACTAGTTTTACTCTAGGGGCGCTAGTTTTACTCTAGGGGCGCTAGTTTTACTCTTGGGGCGTTAGTTTTACTCTAAGGGCGCTAGTTTTACTCTGGGGGCGTTAGTTTTACTCCAAGGGCGCTAGTTTTACTCTAGGGGTGCTAGTTTTACTCTTGGGGCGTTACCTTTACTCTAAGGGCGATAGTTTTACTCTAGGGGCGCTGGTTTTACTCTAAAACCATTGCTGATGACCACCTACTGTCGTCAGATATCTGGTCTCCTGCAGACTCCGACGTCTTCGCCGGAGTGCTTGAAGATGACGAGCTGGGGAAAAAGACAGTAGTCCTACGACTGGTCCGTCCACTGGTAGTAGCTGGAGTCGATGTTGTCGGCACAGGCGCTAGAAGGGGGAAATAGTTAAGGGAATTTATCATAGCCACGACAACAAGGAATGAATATGAACGAATAAATGCCGTTCTTCGCAGAGGTCCGTTTTTTGGCGGGGGGGGGGGTTCACGCGAACACAATAAATAAATGAATTAGTACAAACATATCATCATAATTATCAAATGGATAGCGAACACTCTCCAAACAGGGATTTAGGACTTTGCTTATTTTTGACGTGTATTTTTTTTGGGGGGGGGAGGGGGCTGTCTTCTTTTGTACTGATAACTTTTTTAAAACCTACATGAGCGACATACAAGACAGTGGTACAAAATCAAGTATGAAGCTAATCTTCCTGGAGTTAGGGTACTTAACAATAGTGCAAATACACCACATCAAAATTACAACAATATTTACATACTGACACCGTCTTGCGGCCACCAAACGATCTGCAAGCCTAGTTGACTCCGTGTACTCACCGGTCCTGTTCTGTCCGACTAGAGGCAAGCTCTCTCGGTAAACTCCGATTGTAGTGATCGCCACCTTATAAATCGTGTCGGGCTGGAGCCCCGTGATGACTGCTGATCTAGCGCCGGGCCCCGGGGAGGGAATGAGCCGCTCCGTCGCCTCCTCCTGCCCGTACATGATGCGGTACCCGGTCACCGCCGCGTCGGGAGGCACCCAGGTGAAGACCAACATGAAGTCGGTCACTTCAACGAACTTCAGGTCTGTGGAGGAACGCGCTCCTGGAAATGCATGGTCAAAATCAGTTTCCAGAACCGTTTTCTATCAATAAACACTCTGGATAGTCCATGCGTATTCAGAAACGTGCCTGGGGAAATTCTACGTTCTTGCATAAGCGGAGACTATCTCAAACCTTGTCTGATACTAAACTTATAGGCATAGAACTAGATATGGTTACGATAATACCTGATGGAATTATTAAATAATTTAAAACAAGATAAATGAACCTTGTTATTCTTTTTTAAACTGTACCATTTATGGTTGTTAGTTTTACCTAGCCCAGTGAGACAAAAATTTGTAATAATGGTCTGTGTTAAGTTATACATGTAATTCAAATTGTATGTCCACTAATAGCGAGGAACAAAGCACTTCATACCAGTCACTGTGTGCAGGATTGCCACCTCGCTCTGTGACCTCAGACCCTCCGACAGGACCAGTGACGTCACCTCGACGACGTAATCAGTTTCCGATGACAGCCCGGCAACCCTGCATGACGCTCGGTCCGTGCTGTGATTGACAGCTGTCGTCAGGTCCAGCCTCAGAACCACGACACGGTACCCCTGAAGATCAGGGTCACGGGATGGAGACCAAGTGACATTGAACCCTCCTTCCGTGACGTCAGTAACGGCCAGGTTTTCAGGCAGGTCCACAGCTGACAAAAAAATGAAAGTGCAAGTGATCTCGGACAAGTTTAGATGAACTCAATAAACAGTTGAGCTAATCTTCCTTTAGTAGGGACGGAAAAGACGGGTGCTATGTACAGTATTTATAGGTCCATTGTACCGGGGAAATTCCCCTAGATCCTGCTTTTCGATGAGTACAATGCACACTTGACTACGGCTTAAATTTCCGTGTCTTCTCTACAAAGCTATGCTGATGACCGAACATCGTCTTCTGTACAAAGCTACGTTGATTCCCGGGCACTGTACTTTCTGTACAAAGTTAATATGTTGATGCCCGTACACCGTACCTGCAGTACAAAGCTATTCTGATGCCCGTACCTTCAGTACAACGCTATATTGATGACAGTACACCGTACCTTTTGTACAAATCTATGTTGATGATCGTACACTGTACGTACCTTGAGTACAGCGCTTGGTTTTCCACCCCACCTGACATCCATCCGAGCACACACCCGAGATCGGGTCACATTTGACGTCCCCGCCCTGGCAGTGGCCGCACACTGAAAAATAAAAGGCGCCAATTGGCCAACATTGCTGGTGAATGTGATAGAGCTTTTTGCCACTTGCTTATTTTCATATAGGCGTAGACGTAAAGATCTCTCTTTAACTCCTACATTTGCAATGTACGATTGCCAAAGAGAAAGCCATCGGTACTTGCATGTGAAAAAGAATTCTAACAAACGGAAAGCTCCCCACCTTTACAACTATGGTCGTTTTCCCTCAACGCGAAGCCCTGTATGCAGGAACAGTTGAAACCTCCCAGGAAGTTGGTACAGATCTGTTCACACCCTCCACTGTCTGTTGCACATTCGTCAATGTCTGCAACACCGAGAAAAACATTTCTGTCTAGAACTTCTATACATACAAATAAAGAGTCATTGCATGAGAAAACCAGGCAAAATCAATGGAAGGTCGGAAGATGGGGGTCGGCCAAATCCGCTCAAATTTTGTACATAGGATAGGTATGGGGAACTATCACCAGCCATATGATTAATACCCTCCAGCTCTTTTTTGTTATGGAGTTCTGGAACCCCCCATGGAGACCCTCAATAATTGGAGAATTTTTGCCTGAAAATTCACGAAATTCGGATAGCTATCTCCAGAGTTCTATAAAAGATGCTGATATATGATTTTGATTTTTACATTTCTTCATCTATCTAGTCTAACCGGACGAAATTTGAAGCTCTGGCATTGAACTTTGAAGGGTATGCTTGGGGGTTATCAGAACCATTGAAAGCAGACTTGGAACTTTTTTGAATATTAGTCATTTTTAAAGGGCCATTTGTCACACAATCTGCATTTGTTTGGATTGGTTTTGATTTTTCTGAATAGAAGAACATCTATTCATTAAGAAACAATCGTCGTTTATTTGGGATCTAAATATTGTGAGTCGTGGGAAGAGGCTAATTATGGGGTATTTTAGCCTCTGAAAAACAATAAATCAAGCAATTTCGCTAGCCTAATTCAAAAGGAATTGACTAGAATATTGTCTTTTTGAATCAGAAGTATGCAGGGGCATGATGACTCCTAAAATAAATGCAAAGGAATTGATAAAGGCTCTGTATGGGGGTTCTGAGTATACTTCAAAGAGATTTAACTGATTTATCATGTGAATTATGCTAATTGTCCCACTTCACGTTAGTGGATTATTACTAACTTGCAGTTTGTGCATAGAAAAATAGTTATGAATAATTTGGGCTCTGCATGGGGTTTAATGCGACACCTTTCACCTACTTTTTCCTTTATAAGTGTGTATTTTTTTTATATTATACATGTGTATACATTTTTTTTGGCACACACCAAAAACACAAGTAGCACACCAGAACAAGCTTTACTGCTGGATCAGAAATCTTTAGGGACATGATGACTACTGAAAAAAGTTCCTTATCTCCTACCTTCGCCAGATAATATTAACCTAATGGGTTGCTAATTATAAATGTTTGACATTCTAGCATTTTCTTATGAATTATGCAAATGAGATCCACATTTGAATAAATTATGTTTTCTGTTTTTCAACTTCAATAAACTTATAAATGCCGCAAGTTTTAAAATACCAACATAAACCACAGGCACTACCATTTTCATTAATTTTGCAAATTAAGTCTTCATTTTCATAATTGATATATGGCGATGTTCCTCTCATTCTTATACACACGTCACAAGTTTGCAGTTCAAAAAAATCTGCTATAGGACCCACAGCTTCACTTTTTCAGAGGAGCCATTTACTGATACTGGCATGTACAGATCATGACATATCAAACTGAAAATCTCGCTACAGTACCTTAACAAGCTGCCAGGGGGCCCAAATCTAAGAATTTTGAGGTCTCATCATTACCCTCTTATCAAATACCAATTATTTTCAAGTTATCGTGACACACGCACGTACAGACACAAACGAACGCCACTGAAAATATAACATTCTTGGAGAAAGCGATAAATGCAAAGAAAGTGATATAGACTCTGCATGGGGTTTTTAAAATACTTTGACTTTGCATCTGAATGGTACTAACTACCACGCCCTCCATTAGCTATTCATTAAGAAACAATCGTCGTTTATTTGGGATCTAAATATTGTGAGTCGTGGGAAGAGGCTAATTATGGGGTATTTTAGCCTCTGAAAAACAATAAATCAAGCATTTTCGCTATCCTAATTCAAAATGTATTGACTAGAATATTGTCTTTTCGATTTAACTGATTTATTATGTGAAAGATGCTAATTGCCCCACTTCACATTAGTGGATTATTACTAACTTGCAGTTTGTGCATAGAAATATAGTTATGAATAATTTGGGCTCTGCATGGGGGTTAATGGGACACATTTCACATACTTTGCTTCCTTTATAAGTGTTTTTTTTTTTACATTATACGTGTGTATACAATTTGACACAAACAAAAACACAAGTAGCACACCAGAACAAGTTTCTGCCCTACTTGTTTCCACCTGTCTTGCACTGATAACTCTTCTAAACTCACATAGCTAGATATTTAGCTTTCTTCAACGGATATTTGTACTGGCATTTGTCATGCAATCTTTTAGATTAAAATACATGTGCTTGGGCTCTCTAATATGTCATTAACTAGATAAATTACTGAATCACTTCCTTATATCTACTATGTTGCACATAATAAAAATGCTATGTTTGGAGGACATTGGAGTTATCAGGCCTTCAAAATGTGGTACCATGCGATACATTGTACCCTGGCTAAATGGATACAGAGCATGTAGGCATTATCTAGAAACAAGACCATAACAAGGTCACGGCAAAGATGCAATCATAGGATAATTGCATGTAGCTGTACTTTTGAAAACTGTTGAAATGAATAACGATAAAAATGACATTTCAGTTTTACAATTACTGTAATTGGTAACAAGTACTTTTCATGCCTAAACTTGACAAATTGTATAAAAACTGTCATATAATATTTTTTACACTTTGGTACACATTATGGAACAAAACTCCTACAAAATAAAAAATCAATTTACACATGTCTGTGTGCCAGCTCTAGGATGGTCCCTAATTCCTGTATGTAAATAACTTTCCTCATCATGGAGTCTGTAACGCGCAGATAGAAATGGTCTTCTATGAGCTTTGGTTCATTCATCTTTGCGATTTGAGGCCTTTGTTTGTTGCTATTTCGCACGAGATTACAATCGGTGTCTTTCACTATAACCGCTGACTGTAGTGAATGCTAGTTTACACTGTCTTGTACTGTGATAAGTGCCACTCGCATTCCTTTTGCATCACCTATTTATGTCAGTGGCCACACATTCTGTGTTTTCCTGCTGTCTCTGATGCCGACAGTTCAGCAAAATGGTTTGTCACTGCTTGCCTGTGCGCCACTAAATTGGCTAGAACAACGGCCGATCAGTCTAGAACAGCTTCCCATCAGCCTGACATCTCCTGAGCCACTTGTACAACACCAGCTTTCGGGCCCGAACCTACATGTAGCTCCCTGGTTGAAATGCAATTCAGATAGGTCTTCAATTTGTCTGACATTGACCGTCCGGTTGCCCAGCCTTTCACTCGGGAGGGTCCCACGATATCGGATTCTACCCCAAATGACTGTGGGGCTAAGTAGGAGCCATGCTAAATTATCAGTTTGCTTGATCATTTCTTGCGTATTTTGGTGTTTGCACATTGTAACTTTACACTCATTGATATACTAATATAAATGCTAACGCATATGCCGAGCCAAAAGGTATTGTGAACCCATTTGTCTACACAGACTACAGGTTAGTAACGCTTGTGTATAGGGTTTACGGTAACAGCTTATGGAGGGCGTAGTAGTTAGT